TCACCACCCACCAACTGATGACCTGAGCCGTGGGCCACCATCCCCTGACCAGCTCTTCCCAGTTTATAAACTGAGTGTGATTCTGTATGGTATGGGATAGCTCCTGGGTCATTTGGGGTCAGCTGTCATATCTGCGTCCCCTCCCATCTTCTTTCTCCAGCCTGCTCACTGGCAGGGCAGAAAGAGAAGACAAAAAGTCCTTGACTGAGTAAGCACTGCTCAACAACAATTAAAATGTTACTGTGTTATTAACATCATTCTTGCCCTCAATCCAAAACACAGCATAATACCAGCTGCTAGGAAGAAAATTAACTCTATCCCTGCTGAAACACGGACAATGTCTAATGAATGATGAACACTGAAAGGCAATAAAATTTATGTTTATACGATTGAAACTGATGTGATACAAAAATCTAGTATCCTATTCATTTATTCTACATCACAAACTTTCATGGGAAATATGGATTTTCTATAAATGTTATTGTATTGTATTTCAATGAAAATATATTGATGCTCTATTGCAGTTCATTGTGAACTAAGCTCAGTCACAGTATTTTCTCTCTTTCATTTATGTGCTCACCATAAGTACTTCTGGAGGGAATCTTAAAGGAGCCCAGCAGAGAATCCAACTTAGCTAATCAAGTCAAATCCAGAAGAACTATTTCTACAAATATTACTACCTTGAACTCTTTCAAATGGGAGGAATAAACTGCTAGCTTTTTTACCTCTGCTTAGCATTACGTACCCAAATACTTAGAAATAAGCACTTCCTTTGGTGATGTCTAAAAAAAAATATTCATATATCTGTAGGCCAGAATGTCATGCAGGGTTTAATTTCCTTAACAAAAATGCTCATTCCAAATTAGAAGTCCAGTTTATATTGGAAACTGGTATTTAGATCACTGGTATGGCAATTCATTGTCCCTTATGATAGCGCCCTGTGGTAATTTTTTTGAATAGAAAGCTGTAGCTTTGTGTGAAGTATGTCAGCTGCCTTTTTTTATTTTTTAATATATTTTCAAAAAGAAAATGAGATTTCTAATCAGCTATAGCCTTTATATCCTTAGGATGATACACAAAGTACAAGCAATACATACAGTGCTATGTCAAATCCACTGTTTTCTGCCTAGAGCCAGGGCTAAAACTGTGTTTCAAGTTTGAAAACACATTCTTCTCCATAAAATCACCAGTAGCCTGAAATTCTGATGGAAGTAACACAATATTTCTCTCGAGTCTAAGCTAACTCAGCTGAACAAAGAAAGAAATAGACATTCATTCTGCTTACTGAACTGCAAAAATTAGAAAGGTGGCTGAGAGCCAGCACTGCACAACACAGCTTTAACCTACCCTTTGTGCTTCCTTGATATACCTTTACTACCTCAGGATCAAATCAGTTGCTGCCTGAATAATGGAAATAAGAATCACCCCAGCTCACTATTACATGACTACTTCAAAATCCAGACATTTCTTCTCAGCAGTTATTTATGTAGCATTCAAAATCACTTAGCAAGAGAACAAAATTTTCAAAGAAAGCTAATTGCTAAATTAGGTAGCAATGACTAGCAATTTCCATTGAAGATACAATTCCTCACAGTGAGACTATGGGTTCAAGCACAAGCACACAGTGTGCATTTTGTTCCATCCTTAGCATGCTTCCTGACCATCACAAAGTTGAATTGACCTAACTAGCACTCTCCACAAAAATGCTTGACCCCAATTTGAGCCTTAGCTCAAGTCTGAGCCTACAGACTGTTCAAAGTAGGCAGCCTGGATATGGTTATTCTGCTGTAGGAAGTAGGACACTTGCAATCCCTGAACATTTTTATTTAATACAACAGATGCAGATTTTTTGGGATGTCTACAGTGCCAAATAAAAGAGAACTGAGCAATAAGGTATAGTGATAGTTACTGAATTTCTCAGTCTTTGTAACTTTTTGTCAACCAGTTCTCACTTATTAAGAGGCCATTTGTAAGCACTGGGGATGTGGAGCAGTGCATTCTCTCTCACCCTTTATCCTCTTTTTATTTAGCAATATAGATACAGCTTCTAAACGGACTTGTCCATTCACAAATACCCTTTTCCTAATTTTTTATGTATAGAAATCTTGCTTTATATCTGGGAGTGCATTTTACAGCTGAAACCCAACAACTCAGGTTCTCACTTGAATTCTTTCATGAGTGATTTCTCTTCTTTCCATTTGTTACTGGTTCAGAGTGAATACAGGAGCAAAAGCTTGGCTCTTATCCCTTGGTGCAATCCCTGCCACCACAGTTATGCACACTATCAACTTGATTTGTTTAAAAAATATTTACATATTTCCATCTGTAAAAATGCATGTCTTGCTAACATTCCACTGCAGGTTTAAATCATCCTCAGAAAATTAAGTAAATGAGTTAGACGTTTCTAAGATAA